ACGGGATTGGCCCTGTGCTTTGTCTCCCACACCTAAAATGCTCCATCAGTGTGTGAAGTGGAAGTAACAAGGATATATCTTGTGCTTTTTTTTTTTTTTTTAAAGATTTTATTTATTTATTCGACAGAGAGATATCACAAGTAGACAGAGAGGCAGGCAGAGAGAGAGAGAGAGAGAGAGAGAGGGAAGCAGGCTCCCTGCTGAGCAGAGAGCCCGACGCGGGACTCGATCCCAGGACCCCGAGATCATGACCTGAGCCGAAGGCAGCGGCCTAACCCACTGAGCCACCCAGGCGCCCTTGTGCTTTTTTTTTCTTATTAATGACTTACAGTTTTTTAAAAAAATGATTATTTATTTATTTATTTCACAGACAGAGATCACAAGCAGGCGGAGAGGTAGAGGGGGAAGCAGGCTCCCCGCCGAGCAGAGAGCCCGACGTGGGGCGTAATCCCAGGACCCCGGGATCACGACCCAAGCCGACGGCAGAGGCTTTAACCACCCAGGCGCCCCTAATGACTTACACTTTTATCTTTTATAATTTTATGCATGGCCAATGCTCTGTTCTGCCAGAGCTGACTGCTGGCTTTGGGGAGGATTAGGATTGTAGCAGTAGGAATGCAAAGACGGCCGAAAATCCATACCCCACTTTTGACTTCCAGAGCAGTTGGGAGATTAAATAGCAGTCTTAAAAGACAGTCTTTTTTAAGAGATGAGGTGATTTTCAAAATTTCCTGAGCCATCATTAACATATCAAGAACAAAATCTGGTGAGCTAAAATGGAAGTAATATTCCAGAGAGAGATAACTCAGTAAAACTAGTCCCTGCTACAAGAGTATAGGGGGATTGGGAAGTGAATGTGTGGACAGCCCACCTCCTGCCCTGAGGAATTATGGGAAGGAGAAGGGAGACACAGGTCACAACAGGTAGTGAGGCTGGGAGAACCTTGTGTCGTTCCTATCTTCTCTAAGGAAGGAGGGAGGTCATCAGATCAATAAGAGGTGGGCAGACAGCATAGGGACCTTTGTTTTTCCTTGTTTATGGCATTATCACAATTATAATAAAATAATACATTTGTATAACATTATGTTTCTGTTGCACTTGTCCGTAAACTCTGCAGAAGCTGTCTTGTTATCAAAAAAGAGAGGAAGGTGTGCAAAGAGACGTCTGAGGTAGAGCTCCTGACTCCTTAGGGTTTGTATGGCATTTGAGGAATCTAGAAGTTCTCAAATCCTCTGAGGGGCTGCTGAAAACAGAGGAGATTCAGGTTGAGAAACTGGCTACAAGAAATCACTATGCAGGGGTGAGGCCAAGAAGCCTTGTTGCTGGAAACTCGAGGTGGGCTGGGAAATATCTGGGATTAGTGGCTGGACTTCCATTGGGTGCACAGCAACCAGCAAGTGGAGGGGGAGGGGAGCTAGGGCTGAGTACCCAGGGTGACCCTAACCAAACTCAGAGAACAGACCGAGATGAGTGCCTCAGTTGCGGACTTTAGCAGCTCCCACCTTCAGGATACTCTGAAGGAGACCAGACCCAGCCCCCCTTAGTGGGCACCAGCCTGTACATACCTGAGGACAGGACCAGGTGGCCTGCAATAGAGACACCAGAAGGACAGGCACCAGGCCAGCCCCAGCCCTGTCTCCCTGGTGTCAGCGAGATGCAACCTTCCTCTACACCCAGGTGCCACGTTTAGGAAGGGAAGGGAAAGGAGAAATCCAGCTCCCACAGGAAGTTTAACGTTCAATCAATAGAATGTTTCATCAACACAGAGTATTTTAAAGGAAGTGGGGCATTCTTTAGAAAAGTTCATCTGGGGGCGCCTGGGTGGCTCAGTTGGTTGAGCAACTGCCTTCGGCTCAGGTCGTGATCCCAGAGTCCTGGGATCGAGTCCCACATCGGGCTCCCTGCTCCATGGGGAGTCTGCTTCTCCCTCTGACCTTCTCCTCTCTCATGCTCTCTCTCACTGTCTCTCTGTCAAATAAATAAATAAAATCTTTAAAAAAAAAAAAAAAAGAAAAATTCATCTGTTCTTCCCACCACCCCACCCCACCCTGCCCAAACTGGCCGCTACCCAGTGGGATGGGACTCCTGAGGACGAGGTCTGTTACGGAAAATGGAAAGTATGTGGTCTTTGTACATTTCAGTTTTAGTTTGTGTTCCATTTGCAACTTCATTCTTTGTACATTCCTTAACAATGAGCAGGTTTCCTACCGAAATGAATTCTGCAGTGCCCCAGGATCCAGAAACAGCTGCATTAATTTTTACAGCGAAAGTATTACTTGCCATTTCAGCAGAAACTGTTATCCCTTCTAAGATCCCCTTGTCTCTCATGCTTTGTGTAGAAAGATCCAGAACTGAGAAAACAGGAAACTGAGATTACTAAGCAAATTTCTAGCACCTACCCTCTAAAGAACTTGACTCCTGGTCGCTCCAGTCACCTTTCCATGAGTTTGCTCCTTGTCTGAAGGAAGCTGTCCGAAGCTGTCACCGATCATGCTGAGGAGAGCAGCCCAGGTGTGTCGGGAGCCGCATCCCAGCTGCCCCAATTCTGTAATCTTTTCTAGGTTCCCATCTGTCTCAGCCTGAGGTAACTGTTGTGCTGAATCACACACCAAAGAATTTAAATTCCTCTTCTTAGTTCAACAGAAATAAAGTTGGAATTATTCAAGAGATATTTTCAGCAAGCAATTAAGAAATAATAAAAAATATCAAAGTATAGGATAATAAAAAACATCAAAGATAGGATCAAAAAACAAGGATTTTGGGGGGTACAGATTTATTATAGTAAATGGAAAACAAAAAAACAAACAAACAAAAACAAACCTGCCTCTGTAGGGAGAGCCTCAGATGCATAGCTTTCTGGCGTTCAATCACAGCTTTGTTTTCTTCTTCTTCTACCTGCCAGTGGACTCTTGTCCCAGATTCAGAAAGACCTCCTGCAGTTCCCTTCTTTCTTTGAGTATTGTTTTTCAGTTTGGCAAAGTCTGGAGATAATTTTGGTTGTCACAACTGAAGGAGGGCGGTGCTTGTGGCATGGAGCAGGTGGAGGCCCAAGTTGGGTTAAACAGCCTACAGCACAGGACCGCCCTCCCCAGCAAAGAACCATCGTGCCCGGAATGGCAACCGTGTTGTGGTTGAGAAACCTTGCTGGAAGCAGAGACAGGCGGAACGACCCCACTTCGAGAAGCCTTTCCAATGGGACAAGTAACTGCTGTGGTCAAAGGACAGTTCTCTTAGGGGAAGAGGAACAATCATAATTCTGTGTTAATTCATTAATCCATCTGTTTGCATATCAAATATTTTTTAGTATCTACCCAAAATGGCACTGTTAAGCACTAACAAGATGGGCAGCTTCTGCTCTTGTAGAGCTATGGACAAGTCCAAAGGAAAGTCATTAAACATAAAATTATACAGCTGTAATTGTGATCATGCCACAAACAAACTATATGGGCTGATATAAGAACATATTGTGAAGGGAAAACTGCCTGTCTAGAATCAGTAGATCTTACCATTTTTTAAATGAAGCTCATGGATGGCCAATTAACACAGCTGCTTTCGGGCTGTAACAATGAATAAGGAAGAAGAACATGTTGGTGGTGGGAGGTATTGTGTCCTGTCTTATGCGTAATGAGTCTGAGATGCATGTGGCAGGATATTCAGGTGGAAAGCAGTTTAAAATGCTTCCTGGTTTTGTATGATTTTATAGGCATGTTGAAATTAAGAGGAAGTGGGTAGGCGTGTATCAGTACAATGGGCCCCATCCCTAGGGTCTAGGTTCTCCTGTGTCCATATTTAGAAATTTTTTTTTTCTTAGAAAAATGTTCATTGTAGAAAATTTTCCTGGGTTTCTGCCTATTTAAAATATGACCCCCCTCCTTTACAGTTTTTAGTTCCTTTCCATAATCACTCCCTACCGCCAAGACTGATTAAAGAGAAGGCAGCCATGTGGATATGTGGGGAGCCTGTCTATGAAGAGGGGCTGAAATGTTACATTGTTGAAAGAAATATTTGACAAACTGAGCCAACCTTCTGCTCCCACTCCGTTGCTTTGCTCAAGATTCTTGCCAGACTGCCCTTGGAGGAAACTGAACCTATGAGCTACACTGCTTTTCACTGTGGTTGGGTATAAAGTTTGGGAGTTCTAGTAGGCTGAAAATGCTTCCCTCAAAGATATCCAGATCCTAGTCCCTGGAACCTATGAACGTTACCTTCTATGGCCAAAAAAAGGATCTTTGCAGATGTGATTAAATGAAAGGTTTTGAGATGGGGAATTATCCTGGATTATCTGGGAGGGCCACAAAGGCCATCACCTGTTTTCCCATGAGGGGAAGGCAGAGGGAGTTTTGACATAGACAGAAAAGGGGCAGGCAGAGAGAAAAGGGGGAGGTCACGTGACCACAGAAGCAGAGGATGCAGGGATGGGACCGTAAGTTAAGGAAGACTGCAGTGACCAGAGCTCAAAGAGGCAAAGAACAGCTTCTCCCCTGGTACCTCTGGAGGCTCCCCCTAGAGCCTCCAGAGGGACCACAGCCCTGGTGACACCTGTGATATTTGTTTCAGAATTCTGGCCTCTAGAATTGGGAGAAAATACATTTCTATTGTTTTAAATCAGCAAGTTTGTGGTAATTCGGTACAGCAGCCATAGGAAACTAGGGACGAATCTGGACAAAGGAAGAGAGGACAAATTGTCTAGATCAGAGCCTGACTATTTGTCTCAGATTTTTTAGAAGGTTTCTGGCTTCCTTTTCCTTCTCAACCCCAAATATTTCTTTCTGAATCCAAGTAAACCTTCCTCTCTCACCTTGACACTTGCATTTTAAAGCTCCACTGTTCTCTACAAACTGATTTTGATTTTCTAGTATAAAATCCCATTTTGATTGTTTTGCCTCCTTCCCCCCCGCCGCAGCTTATATTCCCTGCCTCCAAATATTCATTTATTGTTTTGATGCTCCCCTCCCAACTCCCCTCCTATTGGCCTTGATCTTAAAATAAAAGTTACTTACAATAAACAGCCTCTTCTCTCTTTTCTTGTTATTTCCTCCACTCAGCAGTACAGAGCTGTCGGGCTGCTTGCCCCCAAGTGTTTGAAGCCACCCACACACACTCTGAAGCACAGTCCCCAGCCGCTGACGACTCAACACTGTCAAATGACAGTCACAACGCCTTCATCATTAGTTTGTGAAACACACTATGCAAATGGGGCTGCAGGGTGTAAGAAGAAGAGGAAAATGTACTTCACGACAGCAATATCTTAACTCTGAGAAACAGGAGACAAATTGGGCCAGGTGATTATTTTAAAAGAACCAGTGGCTGAGAGTGAGAACTAAAAGCAAATCTCTATCAGAGAATTTGAAAAACCCAAACAAGCCATGTCAAGCCTTCTTGCATGAAGACCTCCTAGTGCTTCAGGGAGAAACGGTATAAAGAGGACTCTAGGATGCCAAGAGATGGGGCACCAGGATCACAGGTGAACATCCTCACCCAGGGTTCAGCAAACTGACCTACAGGCCAAACCTGGCCCACCACCTGTTCTTGTGAATAAAGTTTTATTGGAACGCTGTCATTTCCATTTATTTATGTATGTCTGTGGCTGCCCTTGTTCGTGAGAGTGGGGTAGAGTAGTTATGGCACAGACTGTGTGGTACATAGAGCCTAAAATATTTAGTATTTCGCCCTTTATGTTAAAAAATGCCAAGCTCTGTTATGATGAAACTATAACAGCAGGACTGGGTATAGAAAGTAAACACTAGCAACGAGAAGTACCAGCGTGTATTAGTTTGTTAGGGTTGCCACAACAAGTTATTATAATCTGGGTGGCTTAAACAATAGAACTTTGTTCTCTCAGAATTCAGGAGGCCACGCATTCAAAGCCAAAGTGTCTAGAAGACTGATTCTGAAGTCTGAAGGAGACTTCAGAAGTTCTGAAGGAGAATCGATTCCATGGGGGTGGCCAGTATCCTTGCCATTCTTTTGCTTGTAGACTCATAGTTTTTCTGCCTTCTCTTCACATTGTCTTCTGTCTTCTTCATTTCTATCTCTTATAGGGACACAACATTGAATTTAGGGCCCATCCTAAATCCACAATGATCCAATCTCAAAGTTTATAATATCACTAATTACATCCCCAGAGACCCTTTTTCCAGATAAAGTCACACATTTGCAGGTACCGAGGGTTGGGATTTGGACATAACTTTTGGGGGACACATTTCAACTTACTGCACCACCACCCATAAAAATGTGTTAACCACCTTGGGGAAAAAGGAGGTGGCTTGAGGAGCTTGGAGATGGCTGGGAATGTCACCCACCGACTCTTGAATATGGCCTCGGGAAACAGCGATTGCATACATATTTAATTTTGACATAGTTTTTTGTATTTTATGAAATATATTAATTCCACAGAAAACTCTGACTCCGTCTGTTGATCTACGTGTAGACTATGGGGAATTTAAGACACTATAGCCCTAAGAGCAGCCAAGTGAACAAAAGGCAGATGAGGGGGAGGAGGAGGAGAAGCTCAGGGCCAGGAAAATGGGTTTCTGCAACCTCCCTGGTTGACTCTGACAAGAAAAGCAGCATCTTGTGAAGCTGTTATATAGCAGCGTGGAGTGAATTCAACGAGGTCCTTTCAAGTCTGCTAAAGTGTCTTTTGTCAGCTTTATTTTTTTCATCACGACTTGGGAACAAGGAGGTGTTGCTGCACCCTGTCTCATCTCGTCCTTTGTTTCATTTTCTTCACCAGATTCCAGATTAATATTTCAACAGAATTGGGGAGGGGAGGTGCAGCTCATATTTCTGCTAGAATTCTTTTCCCTTTTTCTCTCAGTCTGTACCATTCTAACCTGAATTTACAAGCGGGGGTGGGGGGAGGGGGGAGCCACAGTCTAGTTAGCACACTTTGGGGGAAAAGTCTGAGTAGAAGTGACAGTTTTCTTATAGGGATTGTTCCTGATTGGCACTAAAACCAGGCTAGAGAGAGTGAGTTAGGAAATCAGGAGGACTCTTCTCCCAAGAACTGGCAATGAGGTTACCTTGAGGATGTGTCAGTGGAGCCCCAGGGCATGAGAGATGAGACAGTCACAATAGGTGTCAAACTAGAAATTCCCTTTGTTGAGGTCTTTCTGCTTGATGTACCTAGAATAGGTTTGGTTTTCCTGTGTGAACTCTCTGTCGCCTCTAGGAGCTGGGACACATCAAAACTCCATGACCTCTTTGTAATTTTAGGATATTTTCTAAGGATTCACACCCATGTCACACTGGTTTCTTTATTCATCCTCATTCATGACAAAGTTTCCTGCTCTCATTAAATATGACACATTTCCCAAGTGCCTAAGCCTAGTTAAAAAGAGACCCAACAGGGACACCTGGGTGGTTCAGTTGGTTAAGCATCTGACTCCTGACTTTGGCTCATGTCATGATCTCAGGGTTGTGAGATCGAGCCCCCAGTGGGGCTCCTCCCTGGTTGTGGAGCATGCTTATGATTCTCTCTCTCTCCCGGGGCGCCTGGGTGGCTCAGTCGGTTAAGCATCTGCCTTTGGCTCAGGTCCCCTCTAAAAAGAAAGGTCCATAAATGAGTAAGTCATGGGAATAAAAGGCACAGCATGAGGAATACAGTGAATGATATTATAATAGTGATGTAATGAGACAGATGGTAGCTACACTTGTGGTAGGCATAGCATAACATATAAACTTGTCAAATCACTAAGTTGTACACCTGATGCTAATGTAACATTCTGTGTTAACTACACTCAATTTTTTAAAAGGGTCCATAATAGCAATTTTTTTTTAAAGAAAAAAGCACTTCTTTTTCTGAACCACAGGGAAGGTAAAATTTTTCCTCTACCTTTTTTTTTTTTTTTTAAGATTTATTTATTTATTTGAAAGAGACAGAGGGAGCATCCAGCGGAGAGGGGCAGAGGAAGAGGAAGAAGGAGGGAGAATCTCAAGCAGATTTCAAGCTAAGCCAGAGCTCAGTGCTGGGCTTGATATGGGGCTTGATCTCATGACCCCAAGATCACAGCCCTAGCCAAAACCAAGATTCGGATGCCTAACCAACTACATCACCCAGGCACCTCTGTTTAACTTCCCTTTTTTTTTCCCTTACACAAAAATCAATTTATTTCCTTCGGAAACATCTTCAGAAGTAGAGTACTGGCTTAGAGGGAAACTTTTTTTTTTAAATTTAAATTCAATTAATTAACATATAATGTATTATTGCTTTCCGAGGTAGAGGTCAGTGATTCATCAGTCTTATATAATACCCAGTGCTCATTACATCAAGTGCCCTCTAGTTATCCCATTCCCCCACCCTTCTCCCTTCCTGCAACCCTTAGTTTATTTCCTATGATTAAGAGTCTCTTATGGTTATCTCCCTCTCTGATTTTGTCTTGTTTTATTTTTTTCTTCTCTTCCTCTATGATCTTTTGTTTTGTTTCTTATATTACACATATGAGTGAAATCATATGATGATTTTCTTTCTCTAATTGACTTATTTTGCTTAGCATAATACCCTCTAGTTTCATCCACATCAATGCAAATGGCAAAATTTCATATTTTTGATGACTGAGTAGTGTTCCATTGTGTATATATGTGTGTGTGTGTGTGTGTGTGTGTGTGTGTGTGTGTGTGTATCCATTCATCTGTCATTGGACATCTGGGCTCTTTCCTCTATGCTTTTAAGGCAGGGACTGACATAACACAGATTTAACAAGAGGATCACTGAGAAGCTCAGTCGGTTAAGTGTCTGCCTTCGGCTCAGGTCATGATCTCAGGATCCTGGGATCGAGCCCTGCTCAGTGGGGAGCCTGCTTCTCTTTCTCCCTCTGCCTTCCCCCACTATGCTTGCACTCTCTCTCTCTCTCTCAAATAATAAAATCTTAAAAAAAGAGAGGGACAGAGAGAAAGGCAGATTTAACAGGAGAAAAGCATGTGCATGAAAGCCCTCGTGGAAAAAAATGTATACCCAAAGAAGTGAGGAGACCTAAGCCTTTACATACTAGATTGAACAAAGAGTAGCAATTGTGGAAAAGTAACTCAAATATATGGAGACTGAAGGAACTTATTTTAACAGGCTAGACACCCTTCTCTGGTGATTAAGAATGTTTCTTCCTCCTGGCACAAGGAAGGCACCTTTCTTGTGGGAATTCTATCTCAAGCTTTCAGGGGGAAAAAAAGGAAAGTCAGAGTGCCCTTCTTGGATTTGCTGTTTCCAAGTGCCTTTAATTCAGAGTAACAGATATGCCAAAGCAGCATATTTGGGGAGGCATGTCCTGAACTTTTTCAGTACCACCTATTCTGCTGGAACTATAATGTTCCTTTTCAAATTTCTTTTGTACAGTTCCAGCGTACTGTGATTCACAGACTAATGCTCAGGCTTGGGAATCAAGAGATTTGAGTTTGTATTTCAATTCCACTGCTTACAAGTTAAGTAGTTGGCTTTTCTAAGCATCCTTTTCTTCCCTGATAAAGGGGGAGGCCATAAAAACATATGCACTGCATAGAAGAGAGTTCTAGGAAACCTGAGACTGCCGTCATCGTTAAGGCCTGACTGCAGTGTTGGCTCTTGCCTGCTGTCTGGGAACTTGTCTGGTATTTGGGAGGGTTCCCACTGTTCCCAAAATGAGAAGCACGGTTCATTGTGCCTAAACTGTTTATAAAACAATGAGGTTTATGCTGAGCCTCTGTTTTTCTTTTGGGAGTCTGAAATTCCAGCACAGGCCAGGCAGAGAGTGCCCACATGACCAGCCCCCCAGAAAGACCCTGAGGCCTAGTCTCTAATGAGCTTCCCTCACACTTCCTCTGTGTCCTCACAATTCAGTTCTGGGGGAATTAAGCACATCCTGTGTGACTGAGGACTTCTGGAAGCTTGCACCTGGTTTTCTTCACATTTACCCCGTGTCTTTTCTCTTCACTGATTTCGCTTTGTATCCTTTTACTGTACTAAATCTGAGCCTTGGGTAAGATTGTATGCTGAGTCTTATTTTCCTCCCAGTCACTGAAACAGGGTGTGTGTGGCGGGGAGGGGGTGGAATTGAGGACTTCTGTCTTTGGTCAGGCTGCTATAAGAAAATACCAC